GGGGGGGTTCTCCTTTGCGCAACATGTCACAATATATACTACCACAGTCAATAATTTCGTGGACTGGTCGCAAAGCGTCGTTGCAGCACACTGCAGCGGATAGGTTGAAGCACGATTTGATGCCCTGTTAGTTCATCTCTTATCACAGCAAGAGGCAGCTGTGTGCAAACAGTGTAAGCAGAACTACGGCCTCTGTTGTGTACTGCAGTTAAATGCAAGTGGCGGAAATTGAAAATATGGCAGTTTGAACAACGGACAAATGTCAAGTTCTGCCAGAAACTAGGCAAATCCCTTAGCAAAACATTTGACGTAGGAAGTATTGACTGTTGCTACACGACAACGCCCATGCACATCGCTCTGTTCTTGTCCAAGAGGAACTGGCAAGGCAACAGGTCATCATTTTGTCACACCCTCTGTACTCACCCGATCTCGCATCATGCGACTTCTTTCTCTTTCTCTCCGAGGAGGTCATCAATGCCACAAGAGAGGCCATATGGGAATTTCCTGCCAATATGTTTCAGAAATGTTTTCGGCAGCTATATCAACTTTGGCAGACTTGCATAGCGGCCAACGGTAACTATTTTGAGGGTCGATGTGGATCTGTATAAGGATATGTGAATACCTTGTAACATGATGCGACAAAGCAACAGTCCACGAACTTAATGACTGTACCACGTGTGTGTGTGTGTGTGTGTGTATATATATATATATATATAAGTGTTAAGACCACCAATCGAAACCTTGCCTAGGTGTCATGTGTCACCCCAACACATGACAGTATCCATGAGTACATACTTTACGCTAGTCCTGTGCTCTCCTTTATCCCGTGATTCAATGGCAACACTTGATTTGATGATTATCTCGTACAGGAACTTGTGTGGAAATCAGTGGGACTGATGACTGGACAAAATTATACCGAAGTACCAATTGTGTTTGAGGATGTACGGTTCCACAGGGCTACTAGCATACCCAAGCAAGGTTCGTGTAATAGCATAGTTCATTGCACTGTGAGTGTGTATGGCAAATCTGAATGGTGGATACTTATATTTCTCTCTCTTTCACCGATATGTGTAGCTCTTCTAGCCCTTCTATTTAGTATTGAAACCTGGACACTGAAGGGTAGTGATAAACCCAGAGAATCTCTTAAATTAATGTGAAATTCTGTAACAGATTATTCTGGCAAAGCCCTTTTGACTCTCTCACAGTATGGCTATTTGTTTGCCAAAATGTGAAGGAGTAGTTTTGTTTTTCTGGCTGGTGGAAAATTGAAACATGTTATTGTAGTCTTATAATGGAATTAGTCCAGAGCTCTGCTGCAACCTTAACAAAATTGTGCTGCATCTTGTAACACCAAATTCCAATTCTTATATGAGAAAATATCCACCTGAATAGCCTGCTGCTAAATGCCCATTATATTACGTATATTATTGATCTGTTTGCTTACAGGAAACCTACACTTCACTGTTATGGTCCAGAAAGCAAGTGGGAAGTTTGAAGTAACAGAGAGTAATACACCAGTTGTGAGTGGCTTGGTGCGGGTGCCCACAAACATCTCCCATGAAATGGTGGCACTGGAGCCTCCCAAGCCAATTGTTAATGAAGACCTGCTTGAACTTTCATCGCACGATATCTATAGGTATTTTCGACTGTGTGGATATGAGTATGAAGGGCTTTTCCATGGCCTTGTTTGCGCAGATAACCATGGTGGGTACCACAGCATGCTGTACTATGTGAATAGTTTCAGTCTGTTATTTTTCATTTTGATCCATGTAGTATGAGTAATAGACTACATAATACGACTGTATGCTGTAGGTATACAATGTACAACAGAAATGTTCCCAACCTGTGATAAAACCAGAAATTTTCAGTATGAGATAATTATTACCAGATATTAGATTTCTATGCATTACACATTTACAAGATATGCCAGCACATTTTCTCTAAAAACTTGAAAAATATGCTTCACAAATGCTAAAAATTATCCTTTTAAAGGACACGTACTAATGTATTGCATGTACCAGTTTTCTGATGATCTCTCTCAAGTTTCTTGCCTTCATTATATTTCCCAGTCACATTTTGTCTTGCTGTATGTTACAGCATTTCCACGTGTTTTCAGGAGGACACTGTAGCATATTTCTGTAAGCATAAGTTTGTATACTAACTTCCACAGAGTCTTGTTGACACAGCCACAACATTTGGCATTATCTGCTCTGGTAGCACTAACCCCACTTCCTGTTAATATTCCTTCACACAACTATCAGCCATTTATCCTATATTTCTTTCCAGAGTTAGACATTTGTGAGAAGAACCTTTTCAGTTTGACGTGAGCTCAATATGATAATTTCAAAATATTTCAAGAACTGAAATTGACTCAAAATTTTTCTGTTGTAGACCAAATATTTTGCTGTAGTAATTTATCACTTCAGTGACTTTTTCACTGTACCACTGCAGTTACCCGAGAGCAAGATGATCGCACACTAGGAAATATGTCTACACAGATAAAGTAATTTTATGAATTAATTTTCTGCTCTTACTATAAACATGTGAAAGGAAATTCACAGTCTTTCCTGAGTTCCTACTCAAATAGACAGTTAGCCACTTCATCTCAGATTTTGTTGTTGGTATGATACTCGGTATGTAGTGAGGGTGATCAAGTGCAAATGACAGAAAATATGTTTGCCAGTTCACACAACTCTTCTGTCTGAGACAAGTAGACAGGCGGCTTATGAGGCGACTAGCTTGCCAGAGAAAAAGAGAATTTCAATATCCTTATCTTTATTTGTTCCAGAAATCCATAAAGCCTCCAGATGTAAAACAAGCCAAAATTTATCATATATAAGTCACAAATACTATAATACTTAACTACATACACAAATTATATGTGTGTCACAACATACCATATACAACCATAAAAATGAGACACCGTACAACAAACCTGCATACAGAATTTCTGTTACAAGAATAAGCACTTTATCCAATGGTATAAAAATTAAGTGAATACAAGATATTTAGGATGTCAAGAGACAGCGATACATTCACGCACATTAAAAAGTTTAAAATGACATAAGTTCCGTAACAGAGTAGAAAAAGTGATTCAATAGAAAGGATTTTAAGTCCTTTTTAAATAAATTAAAATTTTCCTTAAAATTTTATCTGATCTCAAACCTTATTGTACAAACTGATACCCATATTTATCACATTTTTCTTAAGGAGTAATGTTTTATGTACAATGTTGTACATAAAAAATAAAATTAATTTTTTTCACATGTTATGGTTATGGATACCCATATTTTTACCATAGGACTGTTATGTATTTAAATAAAATATATCATTTCTAGTACAATAGAACTATATATAAAAAAGACATTGTTGTTTGCTAAGCAATGCAACAAGAAATTGTGTGGGTTCTTGGTTTTGAAGGAATATTTATTGGACAGTCACTTTTACACTTTCAAGTACAATTATTCTCCACTTATAGCATCCGTTAGACGTTTCTTCTCCAGTGTTAAACACTTCTGCTCTATGGATAAGAACTCTCTCCTGCTAGAGTCGAATACAAACTCTGCTCTTCTCTGGCGGACATTGGACTGTTATAACTTGCTCTCGGACTGAATAGGGGATACCTTGTTGAAGGGTAAATTCTGCCTGCTGCTATGCAAAAGCTGCTTCAAATAGCTCATTGCTTGGATATTGCCAGCCATTGAATAGCAATGGATGTGTTCCAATTCCTAGGCGTTGCAGCGGGAATGCTCATCATTGCCTAGGAAATCAACTCCCATCTCCTAATCCATTCTGGCTTTCTCACGGCATACCACAATATGTCATATAGTCTTCACATATTTGTATACATGACATGCAACAACTCACACCACAAATTATTTGGAGGGCCGTCTTTAGCAATTTAAAACTGGAGATGGTTTTATCATAAGCTGCAGATAATTTGCCTCTTAAAATTGTGATACATGCTCTATTTCATTTCAGTAACTGGATAAATAAGTATGGTTTTAGAACAGCAGATTATTATTTGCTTAGGTAACTCAGCATTAGTTTTACTGCTATTTTGATTTAAGAAATTAACAGTTATTTCTACAAAATAAAAATCACATTCTGTGGATTAGATATTATTAGATATTTATCATATTTCCATAATTTTCCAACTTCTTTATTTATACATGCCACATTATTATTACATTATTAGCTCTTAAAATGTACTTGTCATTTTCTGTTCCTTTAGCTTCTTGAATGACTTTTAAGAATTATTTGATATCTTTTTATATACTTCTGCATTTCCTTTGAAAGATTATATTATAACGTGTTTTGCTACTGAAGACGCCATTCGGATTGTTAATTGGTTTATTTAACAACCTACAAGCTGTAACTAGAAATACTTACAACACTGTTGTGGGTTTAGACAATTTACAAACCCCACACAGTAATCTCTTCACACTATCTTTGATAGTCTTCACTTATTCACAGTGCAACACGGGAGCTATACAAGTGTCACAGTATTACACACTCCCAATATAATTGTATTACAGCACACACAAAATCTTGAAGGCACACAATAAGGCTTCACTGGCTGACTTCTAAGTTATCGCACACTATCACATAAAATCTTCTAACCACACGTTCAGGTCTTCTTTCTGCGACTGCTGCTATATTTCAACTAACTGCTTAGGCATTCCAGTTTTCTTATAAACCCTCAGCCATACAGCGGAAAATGCACCCTGCTTCCCTGTTGTGTATTCGCCATGTTTATAGGCGTTGCTGGGGAATGCTGCCAAGAGTTGTTTATTGCTGTGTAGTAACTGCAGTGTTCCCTGTTACATCACCGCAGGGGAGGAGTGTTTACCGAGCGTAGAGTAATGATAGAAGGAGTGGGGGGTATGTGACGTCACTCGCGAGACTGCAGAGTTCACGTGACCCCTACTTCCTCTTGCGCCATCCACGTCATAATGTTGTTTTCTCAGACCATTCAACACTTTCCTTCTTTTATAAGAATTATGTATTCCTTCGGTAATTCATTTTTTCTGTGTTACTCCTGTAAACAATTTTTATTGGAAGATTATATTATAATGATAAAAAATTGAGTCCATGAAGGCATTAAAACAAGTATTTTCATGTAAATTTAAAAGACATTCCTGCCACAATTGTTTTTGTGATAGATAATTAAACTCATCAATACCTTCTTTGGTAAACTTCCTTTTCCTACTCTTTACAGGTCCTCTTTTTGATCTGTTTACATTAATATTTATAATCTGTGCCGAATGATCTAAATAACCCAAATGTAATACTTTTGATGGACATTCATAAGCTTGCTTGTTTATTACAACAGTGTCAATCAATGTAAATGATTTATTTGTAATCCTAGTTGGAGATATTATTTTATTTACCAAATTGTATAACAGCAGAACATTTTTTTAATTTTTGAGGTTTTACATTATCTTCCATAATATTTATGTTCTAGTCCCCACATAAAATTACTCTTCCTTTTAATTGCACTTTACAAATTACCATTTCCAATTTTTTAGAAATAAATGGTCAGCATCGGGTGCTCTATAAATGCAAGAAATATGTTATAGTTCAATAATTCAACTATGGACATTTCAAAGTAAGTTTAAGAGGAGGAGGTAGATGTATTTAACATTACAGATAATGTCACAAATGTGAGTGGACAAGCTAGAAGAGCATCCTGGGAGCATTTCACGAACAGTGAAAATCTTGACTGTTTCTTATAAATCATAATGCTGTCACTCAAAATGCCTGCTGATCAAGGTAGCTAAGACTTGGCAAAGTAGCGAATGGAGAGGAATACATATCTGATATATTTAATATGCAGAATGACTGACAAAGGAGATGATGCTGTACCACAGATAGATACTTTCTACTACCCTTCTTGTCACAGAAGAGCAGCAGCAGTTCCAATATATAAATACACACATGTCAGTTCATATAAGAACTACTCGACTCATGCTACATCCTGAGTTACATAGCTCTCTATGCTTGTGAAACATGCAGCCCAAGTTAGAGAACATTGATGAATACAATACGTGCTAAGCTTGCCTTGCTATGCATACTGAAAGCACAGCCTACTCTTCTTGTTGTGATAGAATACAGGTTCTTCATGAGTTCCAACTGCACTAGAGAGAGAGAGATCTGATCACAGTGACTCTGGATAACTCAGAACCAAATGTAATTTACAATATTACATGGCACCAACAGCCATCATGAACAGACAATGAAACAGGAATTTAGAAGTGTCTTCCACAGAGTCTTACAGCATAAGAGAATAATTTTAGACACCAGGCCAAAGATGTACAAGTTGAATGTATAAGGGGTGGGCCTTCTTGGCCCTTGCACCACGACCACAGTGATCTATTGTGCCTAAGATGTACAAGTTGCTGAAGAACAAAGTGGCTAGGATTGATAAGCTGAAAAGTTATGAATCACCAAGTAGTGATCAAATTCCAGCAGAACTTATTTGAGCAGGAGGTGAAGTAGTACATTCCAAGATTCATAAGCTAATTAATTAAATTTGGAATAAGGAAAAAGTGCCTGATCAGTGGACAGAATCTATTATTTTACCAGTTCACAAGAAGGGTGATAATGCTGACTCTAGTAATTATCGGGGGATATCACTGCTATCAACTTCATACAAAATTTTATCTAATATTCTTCTCTGAAGCTTAAGTCCATACATAGATGAAATTATTGGGGACCATCAGTGTGGGTTTCAAGATAACAGATCAACTACTGATGACATGTTTTGCATTCATCAGATACTGGAGAAAAAATGGAGTACAATTAGACAGTACATCAGCTATTCCTAGACTTCAAGAAAGCTTATGACTCAGTTAGGAGGGTAGTATTGTACAATATTCTGATACAGTTTGGGGTACCCATGAAACTAGTTATGCTGATTAAAATGTTTAGATGAAACATATGTGTAGTAATGTCCATATAGTTAAATATTTGTCTAATAATTTTCCTATCCAAAATTGTCTAAAACAAGTAGATGTTTATTGCCACTGATTTTCAGCTTTGCTTTATAATATGCCATTAGGAAGGTCCAGGAGAACAAGGTGGGACTGAAATTAAATGGGACACATCAGCTGGTGGTCTGTGCCAATGATGTGAATCTCTACATGATATTATGGAGACCATAAAGAAAAGCGCAGAAACTTTGACACTAATAAAGAGGTTGGCCTAGAAGTAAATGCAGAGAAAATAAAGTATATGTTCCTGTCTCATCACCAAAATGCAGGGCAAAATCAAGCTATAAAGATAGGAAAATTGATATTTTGGAAATGTGGCACAGTTCAGATATTTGGGAATGACTATAAGAAATCAAAACATGATTGAGGGGGAAATTAAGAGGAGATTGAATTCGGGTAATGCTTGCTACAATTCAATCCAGAACCTTTTGTCTTTTCATCTGCTGTCTTAAAATGTAAAAATTAGAATGTGTAATGTATAATTTTGCCTATGGTTCTGTATGTGTGTGAAACTTGGTCTCTGACATTAAGGGAGGAACATAGACTGAGGGGGTTGAGGAGAATATTTGGACCAAAGGGAGATGAAGTGAAGGGAGGTTGGAGAAAACTGCATAATGAGGAGCTTCATAACTTGTACACTTCTCCAAGTATAAGTAGAATGATCAAGTCAAGGAGGATGAGGTGGGTAGGTCATGTAGCACGAATGGGGGCGACGAGGAATGCATATAGGATATTGGTGGGAAAGCCAGAAGGAAAGAGACCACAGGGAAGACCAAGGCGTAGGTGGGTGGACAATATTAGAACGGATCTTAGAGAGGTAGGATTGGATGGTATGGATTGGATAGATCTGGCTCAGGATAGGGACCAGTAGAGGGCTCTTGTGAACATGGTAATGAACCTTCCATAAAATGCTTGGAAATTCTTGAGTAGCTGCAGAATTGGTGGCTCCTCCAGAAGGGCTCAGCTCCATGAGTAAGTAAGTAATTACATCTTACCTGGACCTTATTCTGCACCATCACCTTCAAAGTAGTCCCCTTGGGAGCGCATACACCGATCCCAGCATTTCTGCCACTTTTCAAATGCATCCTGGAGTCTTTCTTTGTTAGGGTGTTTAGTACCGTTTGCGTTTCCGCTTGAATTTCCTCAACTGTATCAAATCTTCGCCCTCTCAACTTGATTTTCATCTTGGGGAAGAGAAAGAAGTCGTATGGAGCTAAGTCTGGCAAGTACGGTGGGTGGGGAACAACTACCATCTTGTTTTTAGCCAAAAATTCCTGCACAATGTAAACCTTATGCGGTCGTGCGTTGTCATGGTGGAGTACCCAGTCGTTTGTGCGCCACTTCTCTGGACGTTTTCTCCTCATGTACTCCCTCAAACGCCTTAGGACATCGCGATAGAACTCTTTATTGACTGTCTGACCAGGAGGGACGAACTCCTTATGAACAATCCCGTCAATATATAAAAAAAAAAACAGATCAACATGGACTTAATGTTGCTCTTGACTTGTCGAGCTTTTTTTGGCTGAGGTGAAGAAGGGCTCTTCCATTGCGACGATTGCTGCTTACTTTCAGGGTTGTACCCATAAACCCAACTTTCGTCACCAGTGACAACCTTCGAAAGAAAGTTTGGATCCTCTTGAAGCTGTTGTTGAAGTTCACTGCAGACTTCCAAGCAATGCTGCTTCTGTTCATTTTGCAGCAGTCATGGCACAAACTTCGCCGCAATCCTCCTCATGTTCAGTTCCTCTGACAAAATTCGTTGACGTGTACCATAACTTAGTCCCAAGGTGTTACAGAGGTCTTGGATGGTCAGTCTAAGATCTTGCAGAATCAGATCCCTAACTTTCATGACATTTTCTGGTGTGGTGCCAGTTGATGGCCGTCCTGAACGATAGTCATCATCAGTCAATGTTCGGCCATTTTCAAGACAGTTATACCAGTGTGTCTGGCGTAAACTGTTGTCACCAAAAGCTTGCTTCAACATTTGGTGCATTTTTGCAGTGGTTTTCCCAAGTTTAAAACAAAACTTGAAACAGACACACTGCTCTCTCTGGTCAGCCATCACAAAACCGCAAACTTACGGAAAGACAACAATGGAAATACGTTCAACAATAAACCCAACCACTCAACTCGACGCTGCTTGCCACACTGATTCAAGAAGGGTGTGTGGGGAGACACCTAGCGATATTTCGATGTACTCATAACCATTCACGTGCAAAATTCAAATTTCAGGAACTTTTGGATAGCAGCACGTAATTTTTATTGTTACATTTATTCTGAAGTACCTGCACTTTGCCACATTTTCAAATATCCCTCTTTGTATTGTAATGTTTTTTCTTATTTGGAATAGTTATTTTCTCTCTGCCAGGGCCTGCTTACAGTTTTGATATCAGTTATTTCTTGCCCACTTCTGTTTCACCATACACTGCTGTACCATCCTCTTCATGCATCTTATCTCTCTCAATTTAATTGTAATTCACCACATGCACTATTCCATGTCTGTGCTGCCTGTCCATATTCAGTCAAGGTCAAACTCATACTCTCTCACTCCTTGCATTGCAACCACATGTATGTTGATACTGAAAGAGAAAATGCAACTGTTGTCTTCCAACAAGCAGGCACTTGACCTTATTTCAGCCTAAAGTTCAATTTTCTATTTGCATTAGATTTTCAGATTGATGGATAGGAGGCATTACATCAATAGCCTGGTCTCCAGAATGTCCTAATGTAATACAGTGATTGAATATTTTGACATTATTTTTATGTATTTATTTTGAATAGAAATATTTTGGAGACTGGACTATGTCTCCATCCAGAGATAAAATGCCTACTGAATTAGGCTCAGTTTAAAGAACTAATTCCTATATCCAGAAACAGAGTATCTCTTGAATGTTGGTAGAGTTACAAATGGTGCTCACATATAGAATTTTTAAAGTATAACATTAAATTTTAATAGTTTCTAAAAAAAATATGTTTCAGTTTTGTTCTGTATTTTAAAATACATAAAATTTTTAAAATCAGCATGTCTCTTTTGAGAACCCTCTATTATGACACTAGAAAAGGCATTTGGAAGATAAGTGTCTTCAAGACTGGAGTCCGGCTGTCACCTTCCTTTGTTATCCAAAGTGCAGTGACTTCTCTATATGAAGTGAGAACTTATCTTTCCTGCTATACATGATATGTATCCCTGTTCTGTGCAGGTCGTACAGGAAAGGTGTGCTGGAAAGACAACTGGGTTGCATTCCTTGACAATGTGTTGCAAATGAAACTCTTTGAGGTATATTCACCAGATCTTTCAGTACCAACTTCACTCCAGAAACTCACCATAGATGCCAAGCGGCATGCTGCTAATGTCCAGGAACTGAACGCTAAGAACAGTGAAGCTGGTGAGTTGGTTCAATTCAGTTTACATGGCATTGTTCAACTTTTATAGCTGAGTAGTGTGAAGTTACAAGCATCTTGCACTTTGCTGCTGCATGCATTTTTTTATGTAGTGACATCACTTAGGCAGTCTTAGTTTGGGGGTCTCTCCTTGCATTTCCAAAGTGAGTGAAATAAAAGAGCAAATGAAAATGTGGTTTAAAATTATGGATGTACATGCCTCTTATATACTTGTTTGGATGAATCTGAAGATCCCCTAAGGCCTGAAACATGCTGAAAAATATAAACATTTACTAATTAAATTATTGCCTGCTCAGGATGGTGCTTGTGGGTTTAATGTTGAGTCTTGTTGTGACAGTGGTCCCAGTGCATGTCTACAAGGAGCTGAATATCATCCAGGCAGCAGGTGTGGAATTTCGGGGACTGAAATCAAGTACCATATCTCGGCGCAAGCCCCTGATGAAGCCTGTGCTAGAGAAATATGTGTTGACACCTAATGTAGAGCCAGCACACCTGGACTTACACACCACATTGCAGGTTTGCATGGACATCGCTGTGGAGAACAAGCCTGTCACCCAAGTGAAGGTGGTGGAGCTACACACCCAAGGCTCCACACCTCTTTCACCTGCTGTGGCACTCATCCTTGCAGACAGGCCACTTCTAAAGGCAAGTATAACAATGTGGGATACAGGGTCACTTCAACATCAGGTATTCACAACATCATTCATTGTCTCTACTGAGATTTTCAAAGAACGGAAACTGACAGAGAAGGTAAGAACATATAATAAAGGGACATTTGAGGTTCTTGGATCAGTTCTGCAAGAATTTGATTGGTACTTGGTTATTTATATCATTGCAGTGTTTTGTCTTTCTAAATTTAACCTTTAGTCCAAAAAATGCAAAGAGGGTTACAGTAATAACAAAAATTTTTTCATGTTTTTATGGCTCTGAATGTTACAGGGAGACATAACAGTCCTGGGTAAGGACAGTGATCTGTCAAGGGCAGACCTGGACATGACAGGGATCAAGGTTGAGGAACATGAAGTAGAGGATGAGCACAACTGCACACTGGTTATTGCATCAAACATCCTGCTTCATAAAGAACTGCTGCAGACTGCGGTGAATGCCCTGGCTGATGGGGCCTGCCTCCTGGCTCGTGAGAAAGTTGACACAGACAGTGTGGTCAGCAATTGCTTCAGACTCGAAACTGTGTTTGAGAAGACTCTGAAGGATGAGAAGCTGCTGTTGCTCAGGAAGGTAACAGCACCAGCAGTCGAACCCACAGCTTCACTACTCAGTTCACAAGGGACTTTCATTTGTCACTGTTCTGAGTCAAATGATAGAAAGCCACACCTTCATCACATTCCTTTCAGATCCAAACAGTGTGCATGTGTTTGCCGTCAAGACACAGTGTTTCACATATTGTCTTAGCTAATGATTCAACAATTCAGGTCGTCCTCTGGGGTGATCCAACACATATACACTATTGCACTTTACTTTGATAATCCATGTTACATAAAAAATTATAATCAAATTTGATTTCTTACAGCAAGATATCTTAAATTACATAAGGTAAAAGGTAAAGTTAAGGCATATACTGTCTTTGCTCGCTTGGAAACCGGGATCATGGGTTTGAATCCCACTCAGGGCATGGATGTTTAGTTTTTGTGTGTGCGTTTTTCTGTGTTTGTGTACAGGCCTTGCAACAAGCTGATCATCCGCTCAAGGAGTCCTACCAAATGTGTAAGATCTAGAAATACCGAAGTGAATGGAGAAGTTCATGGAGGTAGGCCTAGGCCCACTGGGGCTGTAGTGCCAAGGAAAAAAAATGAAAAAATGTAAAGTTGTCCCTGTGCTTAACTAATTAAGCACTACACCATGAAGGTGTATGGGGAGGTGGATATATAGATCCAAATTTTCTTGACCTCGGCTCTAGTTGGAGGTGAGTGGTCATCTACATGTCCCTGCTGCTTTACTCCCTCGGATAAACCCCCGCCCCCCAGTACCCATTGTATAGGAGGTTGGGTGGACCCTAGAGCCAGTCTGGACAATTTGGAGAAGAGAAAATTCTCACTCCCACTGAGACTTGAACTCCTACCCCTCGATCATCCAACCCATAGCCAGTTGCTATACCAACTGCACTATCCTGGCTCTTATCTTAAATTGTATACATCATTAAAATTATTGACCAGTTGCAATCTGACACATGATGAAGCCAGACCTAAAGCCATAAAATAAAGAAAACCAGACCAGGAAACATAAGAAGTAAACAGTATGGAACATCACAGCTAGTACCGTACAATACCACTACTCCATAAGGAAATCAAATGGGAGTAGAAATAAAACAAACTAGACCACCATCAAAACAACACTCATAGATAACTCAATATTGTAGTGTCATAATTGCAATGATGGACACCAACATGAATAGTATTTATGTATAAGATATTTAAACATGATGTAATGAGCAACAGTTTAATTCATCGTCTTGAGTGTATTTTATAAATTAAAAACTTTCATTGTTTTTATATTGTTTTATTTTCGTATAGATGCCTTCATGTACATCTCTAGGCACTCGTTTAATATAAAACATTTATTCCAGTTCTAGTATACGAAGGGGGGCCCAAAAATAACCGGAACCGACCTGTTGTGTGCACATGCTTTGTAGTTACGAGTTGTGCTGCTAGGTGGTGTTAGCTGGGGGTCTCCCGCGACTGTTAGTGAGCTGGCGTCAGTCTGAGTTAAGTGGTTTGTCTGTGGTGCTCTGTTGTGTGCATTCCTGTTTCAACCCTTTGGCGATTAGTGGGATGGCCGACCAGAAGGAACAAAGAGTGCGTGAAATTTTGTTTTCTGTTAGGGAAAACCACATCCGAGACTGTTGGGATGCTTCGGCAAGCCTTTAATGATGATGCTTTGGGGAAATCACAGGTCTAAGAGTGGTTTTCCCATTTCAAATCTGGCAACATGTCAACAGAAGACATGCCACGCCCCGGGCGTCCTTCGACAGGAAGAAATGACGAAAACATTGCCAAAATCAAACGTGCAATTGATGAAGATCGTCGAAAGACCATTGACCAACTTTCTGAG